AGTGTTTCAAAACAGTACATCTGCAGGCTTCAGTATTTCAAAACAGTTCATCTACAGGCTTCAGTGTTTCAAAACAGTACATCTACAGGCTTCAGTATTTCAAAACAGTACATCTACAGGCTTCAGTATTTCAAAACAGTACATCTATATGCTTCATTGTTTTATAACAGTACATCTACAGGCTTCAGTGTTTCAAAGCAGTACATCTACAGGCTTCAGTGTTTTATAACTGTACAATGAATGAATGAATGAATGAATGAATAATCTTTATTTCCCCCAATGATTTGGAGAGTACATTAGATTATTTTGTCAGTCGCACTGACAATAGAAACAATACATATGACAATCCAACAGGGTTTTCACAACGAAGAGAAATATGAAGAGCTGTATTTACATGGTGTGTGGCATAATTTCACAGACATAATACATGTATACACCTTAAGTTCCATGAGCTGATATTTTAAGCCACGATGCTCATGAATGTTGCCTAGCTGTCAAGTGTCATATCATGGACCACATCCGTAATGGCAGCGAGGTATGTCAGGACCTTAGCTTCATCACTAGCAGTGTCCTCGAGTCTGAGATAAGTGTCAAGGTTTAGGTTATCAAACAACGACACGCTTAGCACATTTCTGTGTTCAACGAGGCTTTCACAGTAAAGCAATTGATGCTTAACAATGTCCTCATTTTCGCAGTCACAGAGCAGACATTGTCCCGATGTTACAGGTAATATGCCAAGCTTAACCAGGGCATAAACAGGAGAAGATTCAATACCATACCATACACACAGATTCCAGAGACGATGTGGAGCAAGCTGGGTGTGAATATCACTAAACCTATGCATATCATGACGTTGTTGCAAAGTGTTTCTCCATTTACTATTTTCAAATCTACACAAAGTTCGTTGGACTGTGCTTTCCCATATACTTTTAGATGGGAATTCTCCGGTTTTGATAAATTTGTCTAGTACGCCTGATAATCCATACATCTTGGCTATGTTTAATAAATCATGTGTTATGGATCTGGTACTATGTGTGGTAGTGGTGGCATACTGTCTCAGATAGAAGATCGGCTTCGCAATGGTTGTGCCGGCTGCTCTACAGAGTCTTCCTATAAAAATATAGGAAGAGAAGCTTCATCTTGTCGATTCTGCCGAGCATTGTCCATAATCCAAGGACCTGGATTGTAGCACCTGTAGACGACCTCTTGCGGAGATTCTGGACTCGCAGCGCAAAGTACCGTTGCAAAGTTTCCATTTCGTTGATTTCACAATTGCTGACATTTGGCCAGGTTCACATTCTTAGAAAGCAGATGGGAAGATTACTCTTTGCCTTATATTCGAAGAAGATACTGGGCTCAGTCCTCCAGCTCTGAGGCCAACTTCTCTTAGGGAGTTGATTGTCTGTCTTGCTTTAGTACAAAACAGTACATCTACAGGCTTCAGTGTTTTATAACTGTACATATACATGACCAATAGTTTCATAACTGTACACCTACAAGTGTCAGATATACACCTACAAGTCTCAATGTTTCATAACTGTACACCTACAAGTTTCATAACTGTACATCTAAATGTCCCAGTGATTGTACACGAAAATGCCCCAGTCTGCAAGTGCTGTAGGCAGCCATATTTCCCAGATCGTCGCGTGTTCCAGTACCCCCGACTATACAGTCACAGACGGCTGTGTGCCAGGAATGTACATATCGATATGTTCGATCACTCGGGGACCCGGGCGTCAGTGTTTGAATTGTATTATAACAAAATGACCTTCACGGGTGTTTTGGCACTGATATTATCTGTGTATATACAGTTCCAACATACTGCAACGCAAATATACCACGTTTCTCTCTCTCTCTCTCTCTACACTACAGTCTGTCCGGTCTCTGATGGAAGACTGTCTTCATCTTGGACATACTGGAGTTTTGACGTTAGTTGTTATCTGACTTACACAACGCAGTTGACGCCAAATTGTTTGTAATTGCGTGTGAGTTTGATTAATGCAGTTGTATCTATCAATTATGCACTTTCATTGGCTAGACTCGGTCAACAGAAGGTTACACTGATCATACACAAATACACGAGTCAGAGGTGTTGCTGTTGTTGCTGGTGTGTTGTTTAACGCCACATTCCAGCTATATGGCGGCGGTCTGTAAATAATCGAGTCTGGACTAGACAATCCAGTGATCAGCATCTTGAGCATCGATCTGCGCAATTGAGACACGGTGACGTTTCAATCAAGTCAGCAAGCCTGTCAACGCTATCCCGTCAGTCGCCTCTTACGACAAGCATTGGTTACTGAAGATCAATTCTAAGCCGGATCTTCACGGGCTGTGACAGGGGTAGTGACAGTGTGGAGGGATATAGGTACCGCAAGGCGTTCACTGCCTTAGTGCATAAAAACCTGTGTGAAACAAAGTGGTTTGCAGAGCCTTAGTGCATTTAAAAGCTTTGTGAAACTGGTTTGCAGTGCTTTAGTGCATTTAAAAGCTTTGTGAAACAGGTTTGCAGTGCTTAAGTGCATTTAAAAGCTTGTGAAACAGGTTTGCAGTGCCTTAGTGCATTTATAAACTTTGTGAAACAGGCTTTGCAGTGCCTTAGATCATTTAAAAGCTTTGTGAAACAGGGTTAGTCAAATATAAATTTGTGAAACAAGTTTTCACCATAATCCAACACTACTGAACGAGAGACTCGAGGTGTCCAAGCAAATACGCCTATATTTATTCGCAGTCCCAAACATCCATCAGAAACGTTGATACAACCTACTGACAGAATCATCGCTTTCAAACTGCGGGCTGTAGCCTCGCTGTTATCACTCCAGAAGGTAAACACGAGGGATTGATGCCCGGAGTCTGTCATTAGTCTGGAGTCAGGTGATACTCGTCAAGCAAAGCAATAATTGCTCTATCGGCATATCAAACTCATCTGTAAAGGCAAATTAGATAAACTGTTTGCCACACGACTTCCATTACCGGTTACAAGGTTGCAGCGGTAATTGTGTGGACATAAAAGGAAATACACATGCAGTTGGGTGCGGAAACGGGTCGCGTTCATAATGACCCAGAGCAACACTGTTTCGTGTATTTGTATTGTTAAAGTGTTGTTGGCTAGGAATGTTTTGAGTGAGTGTGGTTTTACGCCACCTTTAGCCATATTCCAGCAATATCACGGCGGGAGACACCAGAATTGGGCTTCACACATTGTACCCATGAGGGGAATCGAACTCGGGTCTTCGGCGTGACGAGCCAACGCTTCAACCACTAGGCTACCCCACCGCCCCGGTTAGGAGTTTAGCGATTGTCGAAACAAATCAATCACACAACTGGTATCTATTTGCGAAGCTCTTTACTTTTCATTGTATTTGACATGAAAAAAATACGTATGATTTTGTTGAATGTTTAGGACGGTCATTTTTTCAGGGACACACATGTCTATTTACTTAAAGTAATTAGTATACCTTACACTACAGACTCAAACAGTGTCGCTTCTCGGTGGAGGGACTGGGTGGCCAGAGAATGCGTCACATCACACGCCAGAACACGCCATTTTCAGTAACCCTCAGCAGTCACGAATAACACTATACAATGATAATGACTTTGTCGTGCCATTTGGAGCTGAATGGAGCGTATATTACGGAAACCTGCGATTGTTGTGTTGCTGAATATATCCTACGGTCAAACCGAGGTCAGATCAAGCTAGTCATGGTACAGATATGTGATTGGACGAATCTGCTGTCTAATGTCCACCACAGGACATGTCCACCCCATCCCCGAGAAACAATTGGACAAGACAAGACAAGATGACCAAGTCAAGCAATGTACGCGAATACAGTCTTATTCAGTCACTTTGATATACACATGATTTACATTTTCAATGAGATTCTTCATGGGATCGAATAATTTTGCGTTTAACGTGATTGGACTACATATAAAAAATATCCAAAACTCCAGGCTTAGCATATTGCCAAACAGACGGCGGTCTGTAAATAATCGGGTCTGGACCAGACAATCCAGTGATCAGCAGCATGAGCATATATCTGCGCAATTGGGAACCGATGACATGCGTCAACCAGGTCAGCGAGCCTGACCACCCGGCCCCGTTAGTCGCCTCTTACTACAAGCATGGGTTACTGAAGATGCGCTCGATGCCACTGGCGTAGGTTTCCTACGGGCATGGGCGTGGAACTGACAAACGTAGACATATAGGGCGATTCCGGGATTCGAAGCAAAGATTATATACATAGTTTATTACATGGCCTGGTCACGAAGCTGCAATAGCCCTAAGATTCTCGCAGCAAAACATTAGCTGTCCTAGCGGTAAGTTACCTCAAGTGTACTTCAAACAAAAACAACTGTCAAACAGTAATTTTGCGCATTCAAATATTAACAAGCAATGTCACTAAGGTGACATAATCCCCCGCCGCAAATTATCAAATCAAACTTATAAAGTAATGAAAGTTTGAAGATGAAGTTAAATGTCAACAAAAACATGACTAGTCAACCTCTCTTGATATCTTGCTCTTTAGTTGTTCAAACACACACATATTTTCAAGACTGACTTTGACCTTGACATGAATTTCATAGTGTATGAAATATGCAAAATAGTACTAAATAAATTGCTTATTGAAAAACATTCAAGGGAAGTCTTGAAAGTCCATGAAGAAAATCCAGTGAACTGTTCTTGAAATATCTTGCTGACAATTTAGGTTAACATGCAGAAATCTTCAAAGTGTCGCAGTGTTCACCTGAAAGTTCACCAAATCGACTGGGCCCTGCGCCTTCCCTGGATGAAGCTTGGTGTCAAATTCTGAAGTGTGAAGAAACTCCAGTGAATGGTTCTTGAGGTATCTCGCTGACAAGCACAACGTGCAGTTTTATATGCTGAAATCTTCAAAGTGCCTCTGTGACCGTGAAAATTAAGAGAAGGTCACGAGAATTGACTGGGCCCTGCGCCTTCCCTAGATAAAGCTTGGTGTTGAATACGAAGAAAATCCAGGAAACGGTTCTTGAGATAGCTTAACATGCAGGTAAAACGTTAAAGTCCCCTTGTGACCTTGAAATGAAGGTCAAGGTCACCAAACCACCAAAGCCTTTCTTACACTGTGATGAAGCTAGGTACCAAATATGAAAAGAATCTAGTCAACGGTTCTTGAGATATTCCAATTCGTACGGACGGAGCCTAATACTATATCCCCCGCTTCGCGCTAAACGCGCGATAAGAAAATGTGCTTATAAAATATGGGAAGTGGGAGGGGGTAATTGATTTTGTACATGGCATGCGGGGAGGGGGGCACTTACTTTGTTCACAAATTATAGGGGGGTGGGGTCACTCACATTGTACATGCTAATCCATAAAAATCATCACCACCCCCGTAGCCATAAATTATGAACCGGTTTTCCTCCTGAACAAACCTAACAAAATATACGACCTAAAATGGTAAGGTCCAACGGAGTGTTTCATATCACTATAGTTAATCTGTCGTGATATGGCAGATATATGACATGTCAGATTAACAGATATATGACATGTCAGATTAACAGATATATGACATGTCAGATTTACCACAGCTAAATGAAAGAAGTGTGGTCTTGATGTTACCACAGCTAAAAGCGAAAGAAGTGTACAATTATCGATTGTGTAACATTGCAGTCGTAGCGCTACGATCTTTTTTTGTTGTTGAAAAGAACTTACCTGGAATCGGTATGCTAGCTACCATTTCCTTGAAGTTCTACAACTCATAACAATGCAAAGTGGCAATACATCCAATTAATCCTATATCATCACTTGCCCAGATATCTAAATGTTTTTGGGTCTAATTAAGAGGTCTTGGGATTCAACTGTCATAGCGTTGGAACATTGTTTATGCGAGAACCCGAATTCATTCAAGGCCACCAAGTTGGTTAAATGTAAAGGGAGTGAGTGTGAGTGAGGTGGGTTTTACGCCGCTTTTAGCAATATCAAGGCGGGGGATACCAGAAATGGGCTTCACACATTGTACCAATGTGAGGAATCGAACCTGTGACGAGCGAGCGCCATAACCACTGAGATACTCCGTCTTCCTTTAAATGAATGAGTGAGTTTAGTTTTACGCCGCACTCAGCAATATTCCTGCTATATGGCGGCGGTCTGTTAATAATCGAGTCTGGACCAGACAATCCAGTGATCAACAGCATGAGCATCGATCTGCGCAATTTGGAACCGATGACATGTCAACCTTTAAATGAATGAGTGAGGTATAGAAACGAAACTACTAAGAACAGGTTTGACTATACACATCCAGACAACATAGTTTTCCGCAATATTCTGTGTGAAAACGCGCGGTGAGATAGCTCAGTGGTCGAGTGTTCGTTATAGCAATGCATCCACGGACACAATGAGAAAGATCCATGCCTTTCTGGTGTCCCCCACTGCCCTATAGATAACTGGAAGAATATTCAAACACAATTCACTCACCCATATTTGCAATCAACAAAAACCGTTTTCTCAGAAATGAAACCGACCTCCCCTGAAGGACATACATTGTTCCCGGTCGTACATTCCACAATGTCCTGTATGCTCCATATCCTTATATGGAGGTCAACGCGACCTGGACACGCACATGTGTAGCATCCGCCACGAGTCAAAATATTCAAACACAATTCACTCACCCATATCTGTGAACTTTTATCTTTTAATTTGCAAATCAACAAAAACCGTTTTCTCAGAAATGAAACCGACCTCCCCAGAAGGACATACATTGTTCCCGGTCGCACTTTCCACAATGTCCTGTATGCTCCATATCCTTATATGGAGGTCAACGCGACCTGGACACGCACCTGTGTAGCATCCGCCACGAGTCAACTGCAACACACTCAACACGGAACTAAATAGTCTAACATGAAAACAGATATATCCGGGTCAGCAGGGAAAACGTAATATCCGACCACGCTTCACATGTGTGTGACGTCTCGCCGCTCAGCAGACCCACAGTGGAGCCCCGCAAGCAGGAACTAACGTCAGGTGTACTTTTTCCACTCCTCCAAAGCAGTTCAAGATTCTTTCATGCTACTACAATTCATCTGAAACGGCATGAGTGAGTGTGGTTTAACACGGCCGTTAGCAATATTACATTAATACCATGACATTTTCTCACTAGAAAATGGGCTTCATACACTATCCCCATGCGTGGAATCGGACCTGGTATGTCAGAGTGAACGAATACTTAACCGCTAGGCTAACCCACGGCTCCTGAAGGGAAGTGACAGATTAACCAGCTAATGTTAAACAATTTTGGGTTTTTGAAAGCTTCATTGCAACAGGAATGCAATAAAATCGCATTTTCTACGGAAACAAGCATTGTCACTAAGGTGACATAATCCCCAGCGGCAAATTATCAAATCAAACTGATAAAGTAATGCAAGTTTAAGTTAAATGTCAACAAAAACATGACTAATCAACCTCTCTTGATACCTGGCTCTTTAGTTGTTCAAACACACACATATTTTCAAGACTGACTTTGACCTTGACATGAATCTCATAGTGTATGAAATATGCAAAAATAGTAATAAATAAATTGCTTATTGAAAAACATTCAATGGAAGTCTTGAAAGTCTATGAAGAAAATCCAGTGAAGCGTTCTTGAAATATCTTGCTGACAATTCAGGTTAACATGCTGAAATCTTCAAAGTGTCATCGTGACCCTGAAAATAATGTGAAGGTCACCAAAATCGACTGGGCCCTGTACCTTCCCTAGATAAAGTTTTGTGTCAAATATGAAGAAAATCCAGTGAACGGTTCTTGAGATAGCTTAACATGCTGAAATGGTCAAGGTCACCAAGCCTGACTTGAACCTTTCTTATACTGTGATGAACCTAGGTACCAAATATGAAGAGTTTAGTGAAGGGTTCTTATGATATTCCAATTCGTACATACGGACGGAGCCTAATACTGTATTCCCTGCTTCCTGCTAAACCCGCGGCGGGGTATAATAAACTGGGTTGGTGCAAGTGTGTATGCATTCATGTGGGTGTGGAGAGATGATAATTGGTTACCATGGTTACATGTACATTGGCGTAAGAGTGGAGTGAGATTTGAACTAGTTACTTGAACATGTGGCCTTTGTGTGTGTGTTTTCATGCGTGAGCTCATGCACAATAATGTAGGTTTGGGGTGAAATTTGGATCGCTCACCATGGTTACACATACAATGATGTAGGTGGCAAGGACATTCAAAAGGGTAACCATGGTTACAGTGATGAAGGCATGGAGATATAAACAGGGTTCAGGCATGATGATACAGGCAGGTAGTGAGAGACCACCTGGTCACCACGGTTACATGAACAATGATATATTAGACTAACGATTAGTCTTGAAATATGTAAAATTGTAATGGAAACAAATAATTCATTTTTAACTGAGGAGTCCCAATGAGATGGGAGATTTGAAATGTAACTGCCTGTCAGCTTAATGTGGGTGGAGAGCCTGAAGTACAGTGTGCAAAATTTACGCTGGTCCTGTGGTCCCTGGCTAATAAAAATTCATGAGGACAACTAAATACTTAGTTTGCAGTAGTCCTGGGGCCCAGTCCACAAAAAGATCATAGCTCTAAGATTATCGTAACTCCCATACTTTCAACATTGACTTATTTTGTACTGCGGTTGCTTTGAGGAACCAGGCCCAGGTCGCCAGTGAATTTTGTATTGATAGTAAATCTACGAATGTTAGTTTGGACCAGTGAAGTACAGACAGGACCACTAATTAATGTCCACTCATTGGTCCTGTGGTCTGGTGGGAAAATTTGAAAAGTTTCTTCGCCTGGAAGTGATTAAGTCTTTAACCACCCACCAACAAGGCATTTTGCTGATAAACCTAGCAACATTATTTTGTTAGACCAGGATTTGAACCCTTGATGATAGATTCCTGTTACGCCCAGGAAACAACACTGAACAGTGAATTGCCATGGCAACTCATAATTATAAGAAGTTATTGCATCTGGACTGGAGTCGCATGGCCCATCTTTCATACCCCAACCCGGCAGCATAAAAAACAAAGTAATACCCTTCATACATAGGACAAAAGATTTATTTTCAGGTTACAATGTCTTGATGAATCATCGGTCACTTGGATCGTAAACCAGTTACATAGAAGGAATATGTAAACATTCTTTACTTGCACAATTTGGTGTGAGAATTTCGTGAAAAGTTCGAGTCAATGTTTGCAATGGTGATATGTGGATCCCTTACACCAAAACAGGTGCTGTGCTCAGACACGTTATCCCTGGAGTCACATGTCCTTGAAGATGTAGAGTATGCAAACTCAGCCCGACGAACCAGTTTAGAATTGTGCACTTATTGCTTCCCTTAATTTACTCTCATTGGCCCCAACAACATCAGAAACCTGAAAAAGACAAACGCAAATTCTTACAATAATCAATCTGACATATACAAGGTTTTTCTGGTATTTATGCTACACAGTGAGTGAATGAGTCTAGTTTATGCTGCTTAAGTAAAAAACGTATTTCGGCCTCCATTAATGTCAGTGTAAAATGCAGTGCCCTTACGCTACTCTTGCCTTCATTTCGAGTGAATGAGTGAGTGATTGTGGTTTTACACAGCTTTTAGCAATATTCATGAAATATCACAGCAGGGAACACCAGAAATGTCGACCAGTCCTTGTTGTACCGATTAATGCCGAGCGCCAGGCAGGGAGGGACCAACAAGTACCATTTTTTAATGTCTTTTGGTATGACGCGGTCGGGGATCGAACCCGCGACCTTCCACTCTAACCACTACACCACGGAGGCGGTCTGGAGTGCCAAGAAGGTATGACTGACTGACTGAATTTGGTTTTACGCCCCTTTAAGCACTATTCCAGCAACATCACGGCGGGGGACACCAGAAATGGGCTTCACACATTGTACCCATGTGGGGAATCGAACCTGGGTTTTCGACATGACGAGTGAACGCTTTAACCACTAGGCTACCCCACCGCCCTCATGCTACAAAGAGCAACCTCCTTTTTAAACACACAATGTTCCGACACATGTTATTTACTCAACCATACTTATGCATACTGGGTATTTGTACTTCAAGTATCCAACATATATTTTCTACTAGGGCTGGGACGGGTCCAAATTTTCTACCCTGGTACCCCACCCCTATTTCCCTACCCTGCCATACCTGCTATGTTATTATTCCTGACATCATATTTGTAAGAAATGGCAAAATATTTTTCAGCTCAGAGGCTGAAAAAGGGGGCTCGGAGTTTTCCAATATCTTAACCATGTATTTATTTCAAAAGAAGTGACTGTAATTATGTCTCAATCTTCAAAGACAATACAACTCTTTAATCATGAAAGAATACCATACTTGTTTTACATTGTTTAATCTATTAGTCACATGATCATAACGGGTCCGGGTATTGAGACGGGTACCCGGGTCCAACTCATCACCAACCCGTCCCGGGTATCTGGGTTACCTGTCCCAGCTCTAGTTTCTATAAGTTGTAACACACATCTGGAATCCATGTGAAACAAAAAAACTCTAACTGAATGAAGATTGGTTATATGTTTTTAATAGTTTCTATGCTGGTATTGTGTTATCAATTCAAACTTATTGATGATTTGGAAAATTATTTTTCACAACCTGTAAAATATTCAGGGGTTTGAATAGCATGACTAACAAAGTTCAAAAGAGGATTTTGTTGATTTTATTTACATAAACATAATATGGAATCCCTGCATTAATACACTACTCACCTTGCTTCCATTTTTAAATATGAAAAATGTAGGCATGGCAGATATACCCATGCTCTCAGCTATTTCCTGAAAAATAGAAATAGCGTCAGCATCAGGACAGTTAAGAAGTAAATTATTCTACTAAATAAGTGAAAATGAGAGTGCAGAGAGAGAGAGAGAAGGAGGAAACCCAGAGTGATCCACAGGTCCGCGACTGTTGCCACTTTGGTGGAACCCTCGAGAACCTGTATGGTACTAATAAACCATGACACAAGATTATGGTGAACCAGGATTCAAACCCAGACTCAGGTTTCTGTCGCAGTTAAGTGAGTGACTTTAGTTTTACGCCGTTTCTAGCACTGTTCCAGCAATATCATGGCAGGGAACACCAGTAATGCCAATGGGCTTCACAAATTGTACCCATATGGAGAATCGAACATGTGTCTTTGGCGTGACGAGCAAACGCTTTAACCACTAGGCTACCCCACAGCCCCTGTCACATTTAAGAAACATCTAAGTGAAATTCAGCACTTTATGTCACTGTACTGACAGTTCTTTTTAGGCTATTCTAAAAGCATAGAAAAAGAATTCAATTATGATTCACTCCATGGAGTCAAAGCATTTTTCGCCCTCTCACATTGCCTGATGTCTTCAGTGTAGAGGTATGAATATTATTTGCTTCACACTGACTGTTCACAGACCATTTGAAGATAAGGAATTGTAGTTGTCACATATCTACTTACTGGGCAATCATCTACATCAACTTTTAGCACCACTAACTTCTCGGGCCACTCCTCCTCCATTGCCTGAAAGTATACGACACAATTAGCTACAAAGCTCTAGCGATGGCTATCGATATAGCTCATAGTGATCGAAAATCGTTAACATTTCAGTCAATTATCAATAAATATTGGAGACAGAAGGAAATGAATATAGTTCACATCAGTGGTGAGTTGTGACATGTTTTTGCATGGATTATTAACATAATTTAGAAGCAAACCATGTATAATGTCCTACATAGAGAATACTACACGAGGTCTCATTACATACGAATTACTAGTATACGAACCAAGTGTCCTTCCTATGGTATCTGACCGAGCGAAAGCGAGGTCAGATAACATAGGAAGGTCACTCGTTTTGTATAATTCGTATGTAATGAGACCGAGTGTGGTATATTATTTATTACCCACGTCTTACATGCATTAAATTGACAAAATAGCGTATTTTTGTTAATATTTTGGTTTCAAACCAAAACCGGTTTCATAAAGAGGTTGCGGAAGAGTTATGTACTGTAGTACAATATTTGCATGACGCCACTGTAATGACGTCCACTGCCTTGGTAACAGACGCCACGATGCATGTCAGTTGTCATCGCCGCATTGCAGCCTCCTACAGTAAACTACTCCGTAGCACCCGCTTCTTAGTTTGCAATTGCTTCGCTCGCTAACATCACTGGTGGAAACATTGCGTTTACGTTTTTCGACGGGTATAATGTCTCAGTTCGACTCACAATTAAACAGCGACACGGCATCGTTTCGCGATGTTTACATTCCCACAATGCATTTATTGTAGAATGAATGGATTCACGTGTTTGTTATGAATGAAAAAATAGTTACGTCAGAATGTGACCTAATTGAGAGGTCATCGGTTATCCAATCAAATCGTTAGAATCTCAGGTCAAGTCGTTACGACACAGGTCAACGCGATACGACACTCGTGTGACGTACGAGATAAGTATGCAACTACCCATACGTTGACCACGTGGGTGATAAATGTGTATATTGAGTGAGAAAATAAAGACATTTTTCTATCACAAAAATTATTGGATGACATTATCAATAACACAATTTTCATGTCATTTTAATAATTTTTCCTATCGACAATATTTTTGATTATGGATCAATTTTGCCAGTACTCGTACACTCTACTGGGCATTTGATAACATATTATATATACTCAATGTTGATCATGCCTTACATCTCTTCCAGCAAGACAGTCTATATCACCATGGCTACCTAGTAATAACTGAAGTCACTGCTTCAGATAGAGCTGGCTTGGAAGATCAATACTCGGAAACATTGCGGAAGGGAAGATTATCAATATGAAAATCGTGTCATCGAAAATAACTTACATGGACTAATGTGATATGAAATAAAGGTTTAATTTACACACAATACTTGTTACATCATTAATGACATTTTTTATAGGTCGACTCAAAATTATGTTAAGAACACTGTTTTGGTCAGTAATTCATACATGAAAGTGTCCCCATTTGGAAAGTTCCTCCCGTATCCCCCCTTCATTTTCATTCTAGTCAAATCTTGTACCCTGAATATATATATATATATTCCTTATCTGATAAAGGTGAGTTTTAACATGTTTCTTTAATTGTATCTGAACATACTGAAAGACATATCCAATTTAAAAAAAAATGTCACTCAAAGAATGTTTTCCTCATCGTTAAAGTTTAGGGGAGATATGGGCGAAAGTCTTACCTCCATATTTATTGGAAATTGATCAATATTTAACAATTGTTGAGCTTTATGACCTATATTGATAGCCGACTCAAACCACAGTGTGATGTCTGACATTGTGACCTCACAATCACCATTTCAGTTCTGAGGCAAGCAGCCAAAGTCTTTCTAAATGCGAGTGAAGCGAGCAAAGGTTGGCAACGTGCTTCCCTCACTTTGATTCGAAAAATATTTTTAATATCAAAATAGAATATCGCTGCCACCAAAGGTAGACACCCTTTTCCTCCTATCAGCCGTCGTTATTGTTAGAATTTTCATAACATTTATTCTTGAAAAAAACACTTCTGACGTATGTGAATGAAGCAGTGTTGCATCCAGGAATTTGGGATCAAGGGGGACATCCCCCTTAACTGTTACAAAAGAGGGGGACCTGCCACCAAGCAAGTGGGATCACATATTGACTAAAGATAGGTACTAGTATTTACTGTAATGCTGGTGCCGGTCACAACAATGCCTAACTATTCACATGACTTTTCTTACCTGCCTTTGGCTCAACACTTGTGAAATAAACATCTCTCTTTCTTAGCTTTCCCTGCTGCAACAGCAGCATCGGAAAGCAGTTCATTAGATATGGGCCCTCCATTTGGGTTGTAAAAAGGGATTGGCTTATCTATGGGCCACACTTTCGTGAAACTTTTTTCAGGGGGTAAGAGAACTCGGTTAAAGTGAACGAACAAGAGGAGACGACTTTGTCAGTAAAAACAGTAAATTTGCAATTAAACATCACTAGACAAGATTGTTTACCATTTCAGTTCTAATTTGTTTTTGATTTGCATTGTATTATATACAGGGATTAAGATTACTGTGTGTATTTGTCCCGTATACAAAGCCGGAAATAGCAATCAGCTGTGCACACATCCCCACTGCGATTTACCAGTGATTTTCGAGATAATTTCTGATGCAGTGATCGAAAAAATATATAGTATCTGAAACTGCTATTTTATCAAAAGAAATATATTCTAGCATTGCGTAATTCTAATTGCAGGTTTTGCCCTATCAATCTAAAATATTTATAATCATAACTAAGGTTATGTGACAGCACTTCGGCGTATTGTTTGCCCTGTCACCCCGTTCTGAAGTATACCCTTGGTGTGCCAGGCTATTTTTAGTCTAACACGATATTGTGATGTTTTCGACCAATCATCAAGCTAAATAAATTCTGAGCGTCGCAGAGCTGTTTATTATGCAGCACCTGACTGGCTGAAGTAAACCAACGGCCTATACTGTACATAAATATATGCAAAACCGAAAATAGATAAAGGTCAAGAAACCGCTTTGTGTATTTGTCATGAAAAGAGAGAGAGTGATGAAACCAGTTTGGTTTAACAAACGGAAGAGCTAATCAACATGATTCGCAGTCTTGTTTATATATTTACCATAGGCGCGCTTTTGATTTGTGATATGTAAATGCGTCCATGAGACCCACACGTTATCCAGGTGCGTGAGTTAACGAAATATGAGGTACATTACGTGGTCATTTATATTGTGTGACAGGTCAAGCATCAATTTTCATTTTTTGCAGGAGATGTACGTTAATAGGGAGAATCCCCAATCGCGCAGCCTGGATGCAACACTGATGAAGCAAGGGAGGTAACTCCGCATTATTCTATATGGCAGTCATGTGATTCAACAAGTTTATTTAGATTTAACCCCCCTGTTGCTTCACTCCGGAAGCCGGCAGGGAAATGGAGGTGAACAACGATTTGATATGCCTCGAGTGGCGCTTAAAATGTTGAATTAAATATACTTTACATGAGTAATTATTAAATTACTGGAAATCTGAGACAAGAGCACAATCCTGTGAGGAAATGGGTGTTTACTTTTGATGCTGGCCATATTTTATTTTCATATTAAAAATATTTTTCGAACCGAAGCGAGGGAAGCACGTTGCCAACCTTTGCTTGCTTCGCTCGCATATAGGAAGACTGGTCATTTTCTCTTTGTTGCACTTCCCTATTTGCGCTACAGTATGCCTGTGGTTTGAGTGATTGGGTACAATTTATTTGGTTACTCAAAGGAACATTAGGATACTCAACTGAGATGAACACAAGCGAGTACATAACTTAATGACCCCAAAAGTTATCTGTAGCTCTGAGTTGTTGAGGGTTTTAGGAGCTTAGACAACAGATAAACATTAACAAAGTATATTATCAATTGACCCCAGCCACTTCTGAGTGTAATATTAAAAAATATGTCACATGTGTAAACTACCATTGTTTAAAATACGGTGTTTATGTTACAATATTACAGTAAAGTGTGGGGGGTACTCATTTTATATGTCTTGCAGTCAGTTAAAGCTTAAATGCAATGCAAAACACAACTTTGCAGATACCTTTCGGTTATGGACTTAACAAATTATCAAAAATGAAAATTCAACTTATAAAGTTGAAAATTACCACTATGAAAAATATCCCCCGAAATCGGAGTTAAAACGATTCACTAAAAAATACCAGCTGGGGAGAAAAGTGGTTTCAACGGCTGTGCTGCGCTGCGCACATAGCGCATGCACAGTGAATAGGCTTGCGAGGCTTGAACCGGGGAGTCTATACACACATGAAGAGCCCTGAGCATATCGACAATTGAATCAGCCAATGAAAGACTTCGTTACACTTAAGTGCATGCCAACCCGCTCTGACTGGGTTCGGTATCCCGGGTGCTTCGTTTCGAGGATAGTAAACCCAAGTACAAATCATTGCACTATTGTGTTTTAATTTATGGTTGCATTTATTGTTTTGGTTGCATCTAAGATTTAATCACTACGGTAAGTCAGTACAAGTGCATGAGTATAGATCTACCCAATTGCGATATGATGACACGTGTCAACCAAATCAGCAAGACTGACCACCCGATCAGGTCTTTTTTTGTTGTTGTTTTTTTTTTGACTGAATTGACTGAAAATATACAATCGACAGAATTATTTTCCAAGTAATAAATGTAAAGTTGACCAATATTGAAAAAAACAATTGCTCAGTTCCCGTTGATAGGTAAACATATCTTTACATATCATAGTGACAGACAATTTCATTTTTTAAATCTTCTAACTTTGGTCTGAAACCATTTATGCTGCATCTATAGATATACTGTTTGCCTACTGAAATGCAGGGGTGGAAATAACTTTAACATTGCTAGTGTACTCCGGTACAGTGGCACATGTAAAATCACTTGTCCTGATAATTTGTCCACTATACCAGCTGTTTTCTTGTTGATTTTTACATAAACAACATAATTAACGTTGGAAAGTCAACTGGACACTGTGCTATACAAATTTGCTTGCCCAACAGAAAAAAACACTGGACTCGGACGTCGGGCAATCGGTTATTTCCACCCCTTGAAATGATTTCATTAACAGGATTATTGTTCTTTCCTTTCATTCCCAATATAACGATTTTATCTGTAAATTTCAGTTGTAACTGTACTGAGTTCTAGTGGTGGTCCGATTCATTGAAATAATCACAATCACTAAACAACCAAGCAATCGATCATGTTTTCTCATAATCGAACACAAACATTTTTGGAACATGTATTTTGCTTTAACAATATTTTTCACAAGGTTGGTTTTGTCTGTTACATTTCATAAGCACAACCAGCTCGTTCCAAGTCAGGATTGAATTTATCTTTAAGACTCCAGGAGCTTTAGGTTCCAAACATACATCCCTTAAGGATGTAAAATTTGAAAAAAAAATCAAAAGAATTACGTGTTTTTTCTTTATTCTTGTGCATTAACAAACATAATCCGGAAAATTTGATAAATGACGATAACCAATTATTTTCGAGGATTGATTGGTTGTGATGAACCAATCATCAATTATGAGATTTTAACCAATTCCCAACACTATTGAGTTCAACCATGATTCTATTTCTTTCCATTATTTAAAAATAGATTCATGTGCACATTCCCATAACATATGGTTGATAGTTTCTCTTTCTGTTTCACAAAATGGACATATTGGTGACGATGTGTATCCAATTTTATAAAGTAATTGCCTTGTTGGGAGAATATTGTGAATAATTCTATATTGCAACCATTTCAAGTCTATGCTTCGCGAACATTCATTTGCAATAATGTTAAAAAAATTCCAGTCATTTTCAGTAAAATCACTCTGTAGAGATCTTTCCCGTTTTAAAAAACTTGGCAACCGAACAAATTTTGAGTTCAAGAGAGAGGCATATAGTTTTTTACTCCCTATTATGGTGTCAATTTTTTGAAACATTAAAAGGATAGATTGGTTCGCATAATTTCTTTTTAAATTTCTTTATATTCAGTGTTCCAGCATATGTAATAACTGATCGGGTCAGTTGCCTCTTACAACAAGCATGGGTTGCTGAAGACAATTGTAACGCACATCTTCACGGGTTAGGGCTGCAATGAATCCACTATTTGGCGAATACAATAAGAAGTCAACAACTGAAGCATTATTCATTATATTCAGTGAAACAATAACAAAACATTTTTTTACATGTTTAGACCATGAGTGACTTACTTTAAGTTTTGGTCCAATAGTTTTGCAAGGACCACACCACGTGGCAAAAAAGTCCACCACCACAACCTTGCCTGGGTATTTGGCTACCTCCTCATCAAAAGCAGCCTGAAACACAGAACTGATGACATGAGCAAGTGTCTATTATCAAGGTTGTTATGGACACATGGTGCTGGTGCAAGTCAAATAAATAGATAATAAATATAAAATAACTTAATAAATAAACTCAGGATTTTCTGTCTGGGTGTTGTTTATTGCCACACTCAGCAATATACTACTGATCTGCAGGGCCGTATCGGCGTATGTACGGATAAAAAATTAGCACGATACGGTAGGAAATAATTTATAAAACGTAGCAGATACGCACCACGGCAATGGTGTACAGTCTTAGAATCATTAACAGACGTATTTATCTGAAAAAGTATTGTTTTATTGTATATTGACCTGTTTACACAAGACAAGCAATGTTGTGGTGCATATATGAAACGAAACACAAGATTACTGATACTCCATTAAATTCCATTCAGTACTCTAAATGTAGGCTTAAGGTTTTCGAGTACTCCTATATTGAAAAAATAAGGAGTACGTACTCCTGGTGTTCAAAAATTATCTGGAGCCCTGGATCTGGCATATCTGGACAAAACAATCCAGTGATAATACGTTTCTACAAACAACAATCCAGCATCATTCAATGTATGACAGTGGTGTGTATTTAGTCTGAAATAGAGTGGTTGAGTTGGGTTCTACACTGCTTTTAGCAATATTCCAGCAATATCACGGCAGGCGACACCAGAAATGGCCTTCACACATTGTAACCATGTGGGGAATCGAAACCGGATCTTTGATGGGACAAACGAACATGTTAACGACTATGCTAACCCAGCGCCCCTCTGAAATAGACAATGCAGTGATTGACACCATCAGCATTAAGCAAGGCAATTGGGATACAGTGACATGCATCAATTAAAACATTAAGCAGGGCTCTAGATAATTTTTCAACACCAGGAGTACATACTCCTTATTTGTTCAATATAAGAGTACTGGAAAACCTTAAAAGTACATGTAGAGTACTGAATGGAAATTAATGGAGTACCAGTAATCTTGTGTTTCGTTTCATGTATGCACCACAACATTGATTTTTGTGTAAACAGGTCAATGAACAATAAAACAAGACTTTTTCAGATAAATACGTTTGTAAATGATTCTAAGACCGTACACCATTGCTGTGGTGCGTATTTGCTACATTTTCCAAATTATTTCCTACCGTATCGTGCATATTTTTATCCGTACATACGCCGATACGGCCATTATCTGGAGCCTGATCCTGTTAGTCGTCTCTTGTCACACTCATGACAAGCATTGATCCAGCCATATGACCAGGTCATTTTGTTCAGTGACTTGGGCTGAAGGGGTCATTGTCGGCACGGGTACTACAGATGTGTACCCTAGGACAAGTCCATTCTTGCCTATTTCTTGATCGGAACTGTCAGTGTCATATTGTTGTATTAGATGCATCTGACTGCGTTACATAAGAAATAAGCATACAAAGTAACAAATATTTATCGATGCACAATACTAATCACAATCAGTTAAACAGGAACAACTACATACGATTTCTGTTTTGGGTTGCAGAATATGGACTCGTCTGATGTTTAGGGTACGGTTAAGTTTCTGTATTTTGACTTTGTTTTGGGTATGTTCCTGTATACATAAATGTACATGATACACATGTATATCTGTAGACAGTGTAGTATATACAAGCGAGTCCGGTAATTCCGCGCGCCCGGTAATTCTGCACAGCTGCAATAGCATACTTCTGTATCGACGGTAAACATCGTCTGCTACCACATTTCTACAAGGGACTGGCTTTTAATCACTGAAGGTAAGTAAATAACAGTAATTGACAGTTTTATGAAAATTCATTTTCTTCGGACTTTTAAACCTTTTTCTTCATTATTCATAATTGTTGGATTTAATATGAAACACTCTTCCGTACATTGATGAAGTGGTTTTTGAAAATAATCTGGCCCTAATACGCTTCCATACTTCGGATCTCCAGCTGGATGTTATGAGCATCAGATGCTGCGCAGCATTACCGGACAGCAAGCGATGTCGTCAGAACGCTGGTAAGGTGAACCGTATGGCATAATGCAACATTAGAATCTTATAGTTGTCAATAAAACTTATATTTCTAGGTAAATATGATGCATACCAGCAAGTTTAGTCACGTAAACCACAAAAAATAACCACAACCACAAGTTAGTTGCCGTGTTGCGATCGATGTGCTTAGGTGCGCGGAATTACCGGACGGCATTGTATGTATAATTTTAACGACCCCTTAAGCGTGTCTTGGGTTATTGACATGATTGAGTGCCATTTTGAGGAACACTGATCCGGCTTCACCAAATTGAAAATTGTATTAATGATACAAAACCATTCACTTATCACAGCAAAATGAAAAAGGCATATGATAGTTTCCCTGAAATGTGACCCATTAACCAGGTAGGGGAAACCTACCGATCGGCCTATAATAGGCCAAACGGGATATTATAGGCCGTTCTGCCTATTTTGGGGTTCAGGCTAAAACGGAACCACAGCAAAACGACACCTGGCGAAAACGGCACCATTTGGACGAAAACGGCTACAAATCTTATGGCGAAAACGGCACCAACTAAAATCTTATTGGGAAAACTAGTTTGTTATAAGATAATCGGATTGCAGATAGTAAATACATCTACTATTATGTCAGAACTATCAAAATTTTAGAACAAGGATGTATTTTTATATTCAAGGATACGATGTGAAAACTACTTTATACTTGAAATTGTATATTTATTGCTTATGAAAAAGACAAAAAAATTCAAATGCCTCATCTGTGACATCAGCCACTGGAGTTGTGACACATGAACATTGAGTAAAATTGGGTGGTGTAAAGTAAATATAAAAATATAGTTTCCCTAATTTTGTTACTGTAAAGTGTAGAAAAATATTGGGATAAGTTAGTTACCATAATTTTTTTGGTTTGATTTTGACTTAAGTTTGTCGGCTACAAACATCTGACATAAATATGCATGGATTTTGAGAATGACTCATATGTTGATATAATCTTGCTAATGTTATAATGAAATGAAATAAAACATGAGTCAACGTCATACTTTGTTTTATATATGGTGCCGTTTTAGCCCAGAAATCAGTAGCCGTTTTCGCCAATATGGTGCCGTTTTCGCCACACAAATTTGGTGCCGTTCTGCTGTGGTGCCGTTCTAGCTATAAACCCTATTTTGCTATAGGCTGATTGGCCTATAATTATGATATTTATCAAATACATTTGAAGTGGTGCATTTCCGCATGAGGATATTAACATCATTCCAGCTTTGATGTCCTAAGGTTCTCATTCAAACCCTTTTTGAGAATTTTCATCACATAATAAAGGAGTTTGGAAATTTTGAACAATTGTGGTCTTAATGAAACATCTTTTCCTGAACATGATATTAATTTCCGTGTTGTCCAAAATCTTATTTTTTTCAAGCTGAGGAGGTCGATTACCTATTCATCTCTATGATCAAATATAACCATTTCGTGCGGAAATTGAAAATTTGTGAAATAATTAGAAAAATGTTCAAATATAGCCCGATCGGCCTATAAAAAATAGGCAGAACGGCCTATAATATCCCGTTAGGCCTATTATAGGCCGATCGGTAGGTTTCCCCAACCTGTTAACCTCAATGACGATGCATATATCTACAACATGCCTGCCGATTTGCCGTGCTGCTTCGAATCAGTTATAATTAGTAATTATACCCATGTCACAGATACATTGGACCAGTTGCTATTAACACCGAGGTCTTTAAAATAATGTAACAGTGAATATAGGTAGTATCGAAATCCACCCCTTTTATCACTGGTCAGCCACACCTGGCTTGACCAACTTCAAGGTGGGGGCAATTTCGTGTCAAAACATTAGACCCTAAGACCGTCAGGGTGTAAAACTACTTAATAACCTACGGATCAGAAGTTTTCGATAGCCTTACCTTGGTTGTGTCGGCGGGTAGCTCCTTCACCATGATTAATGTGATTCAGTAACACAAGGAAAACAAACTACAGAGTACAGTTATTCGCAATTCCGCTACCACGCACCGCGCCAAAAGGATGGAGACGAACAAGTGACATCAGCGCCGTCTGGTGGTCAGGTTCGTGAACTCCTCACACCGACGTTAGACTTGCTCAAGGCTGCCCATAGGACACGAATGGAAATTTCCGGAATCCGGCTGTCCTATGACCCGTAAACAACATTTATTTTACTAACTGGGCGTCCACATTGATTTAACTACGCATTTGGATGACAATATACCCGATGCATTCGCCTGCCGTATCTATTACATACGCTTCTCTGGTCGTTGTTTTCTAATGACAGCATAGTCATTAGATCTATGGCAGGTGTCATTCGTCACCACTCGCCCCTTTCCGTAACCTCCAAGAATAACATGAGTTGGTCACGAATGGGCAGGTGTATTTGATTGACCTTTTAGAAGCAACATCATTTTATGGATGTCAACTTCTTTATTGTTAGAAACACAGAGTTTCAGAGGGGAACTAGTCAAAGGGCCGAAGGACAAAAGGGCCGAGAAGTGCCTAGTCAAAAGGGCCGATGGAAAAAGTCAAAAGGGCCGAGGTGAAAACCGTCTTAATAGCAAAAAGAGAAAGTGAAACGCCCGTAAAATATCATAGATATATCGCTCGATCGTTACGTCCTGAATCCAATATTTACTGAAATATAATATAAAATAATAGAAATTCATATGTCACATAACAATTCAACATGTATTATATTTTTAAACACCACTGGAGGAAATTCATCAATTCCCCAGAAAGTATTGTATTATTTGGACAATCTTGCTTGGGAAACTATACAGTCAAAATGAATACGTTTATATGATTTATCAACAGAACGAACAACGTGAAATCGACATATGTATTTTGTCGGAAGAAAGAATTATGCACACATATATTTCAAGCATATTTCTATCATTCAATATGGGTAAAGTGCTTTGTACAATTACACTCATTAAACATCTTGCTGACTGTGACAATATATTTTTTATTCAAGAATGCATTGGTGATGTTACAAAGTCGAGTGTAACTGGCCTGGATGTACATGTATACGCAGGCCAATATACACAGTGGTTGCTGAATGCCTTGTACTCATTCCACATTCTCGTAATATAATGAGGGATTGAATTTTCAAAATCATAATTCAGACTCTAACAGGTAAAGAACACACCCTTATGATAAACCCGCCTGAAATCGACATAATGTGGACTTACTTTGATTTACATAGAAATACCCATTAGAGATAGTACTTAGTCACTACCGGCTATCCTCAGGTCGAGTTTCAGCAGGGGCGCTGGTGTAGTGTAATGGTTAAAGCGTTCGCTCCTCACGCCGAAGACCCTGGTTCGATTCCCCACATGGGTACAATATGTGAAGCCCATTTCTGGTGTCCCCCGTCGTGATATTGCTGGAATATTTCTCAAAGCGGCGTAAAACCAAACTCACTTACTCACTATGTTATCAGCATTTCGGGTGTTCTAATCCATTTGGTGGCACACGCTCATCATGGACAGAACCAGCACGTATGGTGCTGATGGTGATTCTAGGGCTGGGAAGGGTCAAAATTTTCTTCCCGGGTACCCCCTATTATCCTACCCGTATACTCGTTATGCTTATTCCTGACATCAAATTTGTAAGAAATGGCAATATATTCTTCAGCTCGGGGGCTAAAATTTCGAGATTTTCAATATCTTAACCATGTATTATATTCAAAAGAAGTGACTGCAATAGTGTCTAAATCTTCAAAGACAATACAACCTTTTAATCATGAAAGAATAAAATATTTTATCTTATTACCCACGTGGTCAACGTATGGGTAGTTGCATACTAATCTCGTACGTCACACGAGTGTCGTATCGCGTTGACCTGTGTCGTAACGACTTGACCTGAGATTCTAACGATTAGATTGGATAACCGATGACCTCTCAGTAAGGTCACGTTGTGACGGAACTACTTGTTCATTCATAACAAACACGTGAATTCATTCATTCTACAACTTAGATGCATTGTGGGAATGTAAACATTGCAAACGTTGTCGTGTTGCTGTTTAATTGTGAGTCGAACTGAGACGTTATATCCGTCGAAAAACATAAACGCAATGTTTCCACCAGTGATGTTAGCCGATGTTAGCAGTTGCAAACCAAGAAACGGGGTGCTACGGAGTAGTTTACTGTAGGAGGCTGTACGAGAGGCGATGACAACTGACATGCATCGTGACGTCGGTTACCAAGGGGACAGACGAGTGACGTCAATACAGTGTGACATCATGCAAAAGTGTACGTCAGAACAAAATTCTTCCGCAACCTCTTTATGAAACCGGTTTAGGTTTGAAACCACAACAATACCAAAACTACGCTATTTTGTCAATTTAATGCATGTAAGACGTGGGTAATAAATAAAATACCACACTCGGTCTCATTACATACGAATTATACGAAACTCGTGACCTTCCTATGGTTTCTGACCTCGCTTTCGCTCGGTCAGATACCATAGGAAGGACACTCGTTTCGTATGTAATGAGACCTCGTGTAGTATTCTCTATTTACCTCATGTAAAATACTTTAATTTCATTGATCAATGAACACGTTTCCGTGTCACACAGGAGGGTGACAACTGGAAAATATATTACCCGCTGCCACGGCAACGGTGACAACTGGAAAATATATTACCCGCTGCCACGGCAACCGCCAAGCTCTCCGCCGAGAAGCTGAAGCGCTAACAATCGTATGACGTCATAATATGACGCATGCCGTGCCCGGAGTTAGAAAACCGTTCGACCAGCTGTTTTTGTGTTCACATTGTACAGATTTACTTTACCGACTTTCACTGCTTTATTTAAGCTATTTTATACATTGAGTGGTTTGCACACTCAGCTTAAACATAATTAACAATTTTTATAGCAGTTTTATGCTTGTCAGAATATGTTTCACTGATGTTAAAAATCTAGTCGAGAGGCAGACGCCATTTTGTTTGCATGGCATATACATTTTTTGTAGTCGATCTTTAACGTAAAAGAAAATGATATTTTGTACATTTAACATGTCGGTAAGATAAATACGTTGTATGCTTCTCCCTCGGGTAATACGGTCTGATGTACGCCTCATTGTAGCAGTGTCATCCCTCGCCTACCGGCAGGGCCGTAGTTAACTTTTCTTAATAAGGGGGCACTATCAATGTTAAAAGAGTGTTATATCAATACTTTGATGCATAAAAAGTAATATGTAAAAAAGATCTAGGGGTGGCAGCTGCCTCCCCTCTTCTTCAGAAATGGGCTTCAACCATTGTGCCTATGTGGGGAATCGAACCAGGGTCTTCGGCGTGACGAGCCAAGGCTTTAACCACTAGGCTACCCCACCGGCACGTTATTCGAGGAGGTCTTTAAATATACACAAAAGTATATTTATATTGTTCATAAACTGACACCATATTGACAACTCATTTTACGTTAGTCCAAAAGATGAATACTTTGAACAACTTGAGATTCAACTTAGATAAATAAGGCAGCTGAGATGTCCTTACTAAGGGGGCGGTGGAGTAGCCGAGTGGTTAAAGCGTTGGTTAAAGGCCCGGGTTCGATTCCCCACATGGGTACAATGTGTGAAGCCCATTTCTGGTGTCCTCCGCCGTCATATTGATGAAATATTGCTAAAAGCGGCGTAAATCCCAACTCACTCACTCACTCCTTACTATAAGGACTAGTCATCGACGTGATCGTGTGTATGCATCCTGAATGACACAGATGGAAAACATTGCTTCAGTCAGGAAGAGTACGTAAAATCGTAATCTTGTTCCGTGTTGATTCCAGTCTAAGTAAACTTAGGCTCAGTATTATTCGTTACACTGGTATACTGAGTATAACGAATAATACTGAGTCTAAGAGTTAACCTGAAACCAATCTGTAGAAGGACTTGGTGTGAAACCATCACACAAAGCATTGTGATATAATTAACCAGTTTATTCTAAAATCATGTAAGTTTTAAAATGAATACAAATCACTATCAAGGTATTACACTGGCAGTCACTATTCAAAGGTAGCATTGTACAAAAGCCGTCATTGTAGCAATAAAGGCAGGTAACTGATGTTTACCTAACTGCAACAATGGTAAAGTTTCCAAAGTGTAGGCCTAGGCTTAGTATCCAGGGTAAGAACGATCTCCATACAATGGCTGCTGGTCTTCTTGTAACTTGGGATGCGAGTGAGCTTTCTTCCCTCTTATACATACATACATTACATACATAAGAAATAGATTCCAGAAGATTCTCCAACTCCCTGGTCCAGATTGCAGAGGATTGTATTAACCTGTAGTAGCTTCCAGAAATCTGGCTAAACACAGCACAAGTCTAAATACTAGTATAACACACCACTGTCCACTACTGAAAGTCAACAGATACAGTGTATTGCACGTTGAACATTGTTACGTAATGTATAACATAACAACATGTGCTTACAGGCACTATTCCACACCACACTTCTCTAAAAATAAATATTGCATTTCTCCCAATAATACTTACCATCAGCCCTCGGGTAGGCTACCATATACATGTAATTTATTTTTAAAATTACGCATTTAGATTACAATATTAAGTTAAAAAGTTCGAATGAATGAAACGTTGCATTTAATCAACTCTCGCGTCCTCTACCGGCCGAACATTATTTCAAGCGAACCCCATAGAGTTATGTCCCTTGGAGCGCTCTTTACGATTATCCTATCACGCAACTTGTGATTGAAACCAGTTCGGCAAACACCGACAACACCGCATGCTACAGTTTTCGATGTACGGAGCAATTGTTTACATTCCATATGTGGCAAGTGTTCACTGTTTGGAGGCTGTTCGCCTCGAAGTTTCAATTATCGCATTCAGGCAAGTCGTAAGGTATAATAAGTATTTTATTGCATCAATAGGAAGCTAAAGTGAGTGCATATGACCCAATACATATAATATAGGCCAACATATTGTCGAAAATGTGTGAAACTGTGCCTTTAAATTGTTCGTAATGCCCCAGTAGACTTGACGCAGATGCGTTGTTGCCTGGTGGGTTTTAATGCTGCACTCACCGCGATATTTCAGTGATATACC